TTGATTTCTTCGTAGTTAATAAATGCTAAATCCCGATACTTATTAACCAATTTAGTGTGCTTAGGAGTGCCAAGGCTTCCTTGCATGTAAACGATTACCATTTTTATGAATTTCAAAACAGCCTTTTTCAATTTTCGCCGTGTGTCGACCACCAAACATTACATCCAGATATATTTCTATTTGATTTCTCGTATCATTGCATATTTGTAGTAGCTATGCTGATCGAAAGGACTAACAGACACTTGGATGAATGTGTGTCCAATCATGAAATCGAACCGCGGATAACGTGCGAAACCGAGAACTAAAGACGTGGCATGCTGTGGACCTGGTGCGAGCTGGTCTTTTTCAAGAGCAATGAAATGTTCGAATTGAATATGTACATCTGTAGTTGGGTTTCCGGCCAGGTTTGTCGCCTTGAATAGTACATTACGATGGTTTAACATCTGCTGGAAAAGTATTTCCTCGAAATTGTCGCAACAAAGTTGTCCATCTTTAAGAGACGGTACACTCACATCTCTGGGTAATGGGAAAGTCCAATGCAGCTGGGCATAGCGGTTTAAATAACACGAAATTATATTCATCTAGAAACCTATACACTAGTCCAGTGTCCAAGAACTTCCCAGTCGAAGCTTACAATACATTCAATGTATGATGATTTTAGAAACATAATTGAAGGTATTTGCGATAATCTGTTTTGTAGCCAGTATCAAGTGTTTCGAAATATTCTTGCAATTTTTAGAAATTCATGACTTCGAAATTCACGGAAACTATTTAGAAATGTATCAAACTTGCCATCGGGAATATAGTTGCTGTTTAAGCTCTTTACATGTTTATCTAGATATATGAGCTCGCGCGGAATGCAATTAGTAACTTCCTTCACCTTCGACACAATTTTTTCATGTCCCAGGAAGGGGTGAAGTATCAGCAGACTATCAAAAATATCTTCTGGTAACGGACCGACAAATTCAATCCATTCATATATACCATTTATCAGGTATTTTTTCTCAAACTTCGCGTGCGCTATACCAGTTAAGACCACGCGAGCTCCTAGACTATGTTCACTCCAGTATGTAAGTCTCATCATGGGTTTCAAGATATGAAGCCGAGCAGGTACAGGTTCATTGCTAAATAATGCGCCATGTTCATCGGCTAAAAAAAAGGTTTTACGATATTTCTGCTGGAGCATGTTCCAGATGGCTTCGACAAAAGGCACTGCAAAATCATCTGTTCTAATTGCCTCTACCAGTTTTCCGAGTTCAGCGGCAGTTAAAAGGTCTTTATTTATTGCCAAAAAATACTTAGCTATCACCTTTGATGACTCTTCATCCGTATTTAAGTCCAGTTTAGCCATCTGCGACATAAAGCATTAACCAATTTTCAGCAAATGCTTTTGCCGCAAGGAACATTGCTATATACGATTTTCCCACTCCCTTTGGACCTGATAAAACACGTTTTATTGAATGTGGTTGATCTTTTGAGAATGTTTCCCATAATTCAATAATCTGATTTATAACGAGAAATTTCTTTCCCTGGTAGCATTGTGCAAAGTATTTTGGCGTCTGACCAAGGTTTGGCATTTCAATTAAATCACCAGCTTTAAGGTCTCGTAAGGTATTTGCGAACTTGGCACGTGCTTCGGGTACGTATTCATCGCTGCAAAGGAGATCAGTGATTTGAGGTGGCAGTTCCACGGAGTAGCCATCGGAGGCAATGTAAGTATTCCACTTCTTTCGGCGTTTATTTATAGAAGACTCTGCATAATGCAAGCATGATAGAGTTGCGTCACGTTCGTGTTGACCAAATTGACTAAGTATTGCGACGCAAAGGCTTACCGACGTTAACTGATGATCCAACTATAATTCGAATTTTGCTTCCTGAAACATCAGTAAAAGAGAAATATTCCTATTGTTTTCGAGATTAGTTCTCCAAAGCACAAGTTCTGTGGCTTTTACATTAAGAAGCTCTTCT